AGATTGAAATTATTTGAAGGCATCATTTAACTCAAACAGTTGCGTATAGCCAAAGCTCTTCAAAAAACCTCTAACCTCCTTTACCTTGAACTAAGTTGCCTAAATAGGCCCTTTTTGGCTTAGGAGGAGGGGCATTTTGCTTTTTCGCTAGGTTTTTTGCTACTTCCTGTTAATTTACACAACACACCTTGGTGAGACCTGTGGAATCTTGTCAAGCGTAAACAAAGCTTCTGCTATTACATAGTCTCACAGGAGTTCACAATTTTCCATAGAAGGCACCGGTAGTGATTAGTGGAATCTAGCAAAATGCCCCTACCAAGCCGAACTGCAGTGTAAAAATTCCCAGAAATGACTACCGTACCTGTATACCATTCGTTCGTACACCCATGACAAATCCATCGCACGTCTCTTCTCGTCCTTGAAAATACGTCAGCACATTCAACTGCACAGACGCTCGCCCAGCGTATTGCGCGTTTCTATGTCTGAAAAAGGGGTTTGAAAGTCGTAGAGGAGAAAAAAGGCGCAGACCGGCTTGAGGGGGGAGACACTTTGCACTTCTGCTACTTCCCGCTGCCGTTTCGGCCATAAAGATATTTGTGAAAACCTATGAAGCCATGAAGTTAAACCAATCGAAGGTTGTAGGGGCTACCTGTCCACTCTTGTAAAGCAATGGACACAACGATAGGTAGCAAAAGTGCAAAGTGCCGCCCCTCCCCCCGACATGCGAGCCGAAGTGCGCTGAAAAAAAAACTTGGAAAAAAAGTGAGGGGACAGACCTATAGTTGATGTTCTGTGAGATCTTCTGCACGTTGGCTTGACTGAGCAAGCCTACCTTGATGTCATCGGCACCAATACAGGCGGCCAGCAGTCGATGCACTACCACATCAGCGTACCGACGAATTGGTGAGGTGAAGTGAGTATAGATGGGACAGGCCAGACCGAAGTGCTGGTACTGCGGCACTGGTATCGTACCTGAATAAAGTTACAACGGCACTGATTGTGAGGAAATGCTCTTCAGAGCTTTTTTCATTACGTTTGTCGGAGACGTTCTCGGTAAAGGGGTGAATTAAGGCTGGAAGTAGGGAGATCACAATTCCCTTAGCATTTGGCTTTTGCGTCATAAGCAAGGTACCGCAGCGGGAGAGAGCAACCACAAGTTAGAGGGTGCAGACAGGCAGCGCGTTTTGATACGGTTAGGCGCGTGGCTGGCCGTGCGGTAGCGCAGACGGACTAGTTACCGTGTACCTTTTAGCGGACAACGGCACACTAGCGCAGTCACGGAACCACTCACTAGGGCAAGGACCTTTCCCGAAGTACAGTTTGCCTTTTGTAAGTACTCATTTTCTAACAAAATTAAAGGTAACGAACCAGCGCTGAAGTACACAGCCTGTGTCATACATCGAGTTGTCAGCATTCTCAGCAACCGATTCAACATCGGATTCTTCTCATCCACTGCATGATCCAAGCTATCAGCCAATGCTTTTCCGCTGCTCACATTTATAGTGATTCCACGTTGCTTTGCAGCCTTGAACATATACATTATTTATAGAAACCAAGCGAG